AATAGGATGTTAAAATTACAAATTGCGCCTTTGTGATTGTAGTAGGATCGACGTGAGGTACCGTAAGAATGTTCTCATTTCGGACCTTATCAATGGTAAAAAAAATGTTGATTTTATAGTAGGCCCCTCATTGTTGTAAGAGGCAAAGGTAATGTGAACAAATTAGAAATGCAGGAAAAACAAAAACCATGTTACATTAGGTACAGCACTAGAGAATTCAGCAACAGATCACTAACCTTGTGCAACATAGAAGCATTATTTTTCTAAACACCTCCCAGAAACTTTTTCAAATGCAAAACTATCATCAACTTACGACTATCCTGCATAACCTTCCTAAATATATTCCTATTACGGGTGCAATGAATCGAAGTAGCGAGAATTGCACTAAGGTGTCAAACGAGTACAAAGATGTGAGCGAAGGCATGAGCAAACATTTATACGCGAAACATGCAAACGGTAACGCGATGCTTGCGAGCTAGCTAGTGCTACACTGGCAGCGAGGCTCGGGCTAGTCCCGAAGCGTAGGCCGACACGGCCGGGCCACCAGTGCGAGGTTTGGCAAAACAGTGCGCGCGAAGTTGGCGAAGTCCCGTTAGCAGTAACGGGCGAACAACGGTTGTTGCTGTACGCGATGTAGTCATGCTCCGTAAGGAATGCCGAGAAAATTCCTTACACTACCCTCCCCCTCAAGAAGCCCCCTCCGCTACGCGAGTGCGTGTATATCGCGGAATCCCCGGCTCCTCAGGTACACTTGCAGGGCAGGGTGGTTTTCAATGTTGGCCTGGGGCACCCAGCTATCTTCAGTTGGCGTGCGGTCCTTCCAGCGAACGAGGAATTCAATCCTCTTGATTCTCGTGGGGTGGCGAATCCGATGGCTCGTGATTTTTTCGGGCTCGATGATCGGCTCCGATGCAGGGCGAGTCATAGAATGCGAGCGGTGACAAGGCACTTGGCTGGTGGTTGGAATGTATGGGCGAAGTAGGCTGACGTGGAACGATGGGCTGATGTACCAATCGGTCGGTAACAGTAGGTGCGCGGTTACTGGCATGATCATGTGGCTGATTTCGAATGGGCCACAGTAGCGCGGTCGAAGTTTCGGTACGTCAGGCAGTCGCAGATTTTGCGTGTCGAGCAGTACATAATCCCCTGACTGGTATGTGACTGGGCGGCGGTGGCGGTCAGCGTTGCGCTTAGCGATGACGTTTGCTTTTTTAATTGCTTCTGCGGCTCTGGTGCGGGCAGCTTGCAGAATTTCGACGAATTGCTGTGCACGTGGTGTTGGGTTGTCCGGACTCGGCGTCATGGGCACTGTAGGATTTTGCCCGTAGTTCAGGTAGAAGGGGGACTGCTGCGTCGTCGCTGACGTGGCGTTGTTGTACGCGAACTCGATTAGCGGCAGCTGCTGCTCCCAAGTCGTAGGGTCGTCGCACGTGGCACGAATCAACAGCTACATCGTCTGATTTGTCCGCTTCGTTTGACCGTCGGTCTCGAGGTGGTACGACGAACTGAACTGTAGCCTGGTCCCGAACTGCTCCCAGAGGTTCTTCCAGAAATTGCTGGTGAACTTCGTGTCCCTATCGCAGATAATCACTGCTGGTATCCTGTGTAGGCGAACAGCGGTTGCGATGGACAGGCGAGCGGTCTCCTCGGCTGAGATCGACTTTTTGCACGCAGCGAAGTGTGCCATCATCGTCAACCTGTCAACGACGACCATCACCGCGTCGTTACCTCCAGGGTTTGAAGGTAACCCTATGACGAAGTCCATAGTAACCTGCTGCCAGGCGCGCTCGGGCGGTGGTATCGGCTGCAATTGACCCGCCTTCCGCTTCCTCGAGCTCTTCATCACCTGACACATGGGGCACGAGCCCACATGCTGCTACACGTCGGTCAACAGCTCCGGCCAGTAGTAATACCGCTGAAGTTGCTGTCGCGTTTTTTCTACCCCAAAATGTCCCGAGGTAATTCCGTCGTGTGCCTCCTGCAGTAGCAACTCCCTCTGTCACTAGATCTGCACTGGGGATGCTTGATTGATCCTGGAGAGGGTTACAGACGCGTTCGCCTGGGGGGTTATGAGCGCACTGACCCGCTACTGAAACAAGCCCTTTTATCCCAATGGTCTAGTGGTTGGGATTCTGACATGGTATCAGAGCGATCTCAGGTTCGATTCCCAGTGTATGCACATGTAGGCCGTTGCCGCTGTGCTTAGTCCTAGGCCTCCCAGTGTGGGGGGGTGTCAGTAGATCTGCACTGTGGATGCCCGATTGATCCTGGAGAGGGTTACAGGCGCATTCGCCTAGGGGGTTATAGGCGCACTAACCCGCTACTGAAACAAGCCCTTTTATCCCAATTGTCTAGTGGTTGGGATTTTGACACCCTCAGTAGTGAGTACGCGAGTACCCAGATGCGTTTAGTGCCTGTTTTTACGTAATAAACCCCTTTAGCTTCTGCCAATTGCTGTGAATTTCCGGTCGTGAAAAATGGGTCGGTGCGATATCCGTGGGTGAATAGGCCTGTTAAAAGCGGGCTGGTTTGGGCGAGTAGGATGGCATGGAGTTGGGCGGTAGGGCGGGTGAGTGCGTCGGCGATGTTGGATGCGCCTTTCTTGTACGTAACCGTGTAGTGGAAGTTGGACTCGAGGTAATCCAACCAGCGAATCTGTCGCGGGTTGAGATTTTGTGAGAGTACGGCGGCTTATGCCAGCTATGCTTGCTTGCCTTTACTCTATTATGCTATTTCTAGCATAGGATAATTATATGCATGCATGAATTGCTTGATTTCCTAGGCTAGGTGCTTTCCTAAATTCTATTATAATTATAGCACCGAGCTAGGTTACGTGCACCGAATTCTGGCCTTTTCGGTTGCCACCGAATTGCCTTCTACCGAATTCGTAAGGGTCTGTTCGGGACGCTACGCGACCCACGAAACCTTCGCGTAACACCTAGTTACGGGGCCTTGTGTCGAGCCTATATATAGCCTCATGTTGTACCCAGGTGATCATTCAATTCGATTCAATTCACATTCTCTTTTCTGCGCTCGATCCTCGATCCTCACACTTGGTAATCAGAGCCTGTTTGCAAGCGAAGTTTTTCGACCGCTTAAACCTAGCTTTTAAAACCGCGGGGGCGACGACGGAAAGCGCCGATTTCGGGTACGTAAACCAGTTCCGCGCTATTTTCTAACGTCCCTCTCGAACCGGTTTTCGAACACTCCTCAGGTCCAGTGGCGAAAAAGTTGGAATTTCGACCGTCGGATCGATTCGAATCTCAACGGCCCGGAGAATTTCGCCCAAAAAAGTTGGAATTTGGAGAGTCGGATCGAATTTCTTCTCAACGGCCGATATCAGACGTGAATTTCGAATAAAGGAGAATTACACGACCTACAGAATCAGCCCTCGTCATTTCTGCAGTCAACTCGACTCACAGTAAGATGCCCAGCGCCTAGAATTTATGTATTTTCGTCGCATATCTTCCTATAAATCATCAAATGGAGGAAAACGGTGATAATTCCGTATGGAAAATTACGGAGCTACACACCGGCCTGGACCAGACACGAGTGGCACTCCAGCGAATAGAGGAGCTTCTCGCAAACCAGTTGGTAGCCGCCACAGCAGCAGCGTGTCAGAACATATAGCTTGTGCTGATTGTGAAGGCTATAGTGCCCATAAGGGGTACAACCCAATTAGGGTTAGTACTTGTACTCAGTTCATTCATAGTTCATTCATTCTCGTTTCTATTTCCTCATGGTATCGAGCAGGTTCCCTCGTGGGAACTGTGCCTAGGGCCCACCACATCAATTTGTTTTTTTCCTTCCCGGAGCGCGCTCCCCGAGTCGCGCTCCCCTCTCTGACTTCGTTGAGCCGCCCTAGCGGCCACGTCGCGCCGCCTTGGCGGCCCCTGATTCGTCGCCCTAGCGACCCCGTCGCCCTACCTGCGCTGCGGCCCTGTCGCCCTACCTGCGCCCCGGCCCCGTCGCCCTACCTTCGACCCCGGCCCCGTCGCCCCACTACGCCCTGGCCCCGCCGCCATACCTGCGGCCCCGACCCATGCCCTGTCGCCCTTCCTGCGCCCCGGCCCCGGCCCCGTTGCCCTACCTTCGACCCGGCCCCGTCGCCCTACCTGCGGCCCCGCCGCCCTACTAGCGGCCTCGCCACCCAACCTGCGGCCCCGCCACCGTGGCCCTACCTGCGGCCCCGACCCAGGCCCCGCCGCCGCCGCCCTACCTGCGGCCCCGACCCAGGCCCCGTCGCCCTACCTGCGCCCCGGCCCCGGCCCCGTCGCCCTACCTTCGACCCGGCCCCGTCGCCCTACCTGCGGCCCCGCCGCCCTACTAGCGGCCTCGCCGCCCTACCTGCGGCCCCGCCGCCCTACCTGCGGCCCCGCCGCCCTACCACCGGCCCCGCCGCCCTACCTCTGGCCCCGTCGCCCTACCAGCGGCCCCGCCACCCTACCAGAGGCCCCGCCGCCCTTCCAGCGGCCCTCCCGCCCTACGCAGCCGAGCCGCCCGAGCCGCTCGAGCCGCCCGAGCCGCCCGAATCGCCCGAGCCGCCCGAGCCGCCCGAATCGCCCGAGCCGCCCGAGCCGCCCGAGCCGCCTGAGCACCTGAGGAGCCGAGCCGCGGCTGCCGCTGAGCCACAGTTGCTGCCGAGCTGCCCGAGTCGATCGAGCCGCCGTGTTGCTAAGCTGCTGTGCTGCCAAGCTGCTCGAACCGCCCTGTCTGGTGAGAGCAGCGCCTCTGTTACTGCACTGCCCTCCCCCAACTGTTTGCACTGCTAGTCTACTGTGGTCATGGCTACCCCTAGTGTCCTCGCTTTTGACGCTGAGGGTCGGGCCATTGACTTTGAGGTCTGGGTAGATGACCTGTAGCTGTTCTTACAGTGCGATAGGGCACACGGTCTCTCTCTCTTCGACCTTACCTCGGGCGCCTCTCCTGCCCCTGCTGCTGATGCTGACGCCACTGTTCACTCCCAATGGGCCACGCGCGTCGCTGCTGCACGTCTTGCTATGCGTCGCCACCTCCCTACCTCCGAGCGTGCGCACTTTAGTCAGTACAAGAGTGCTCAGACCTTGTACGACGCTGTAGTTGCACGCTACTCCTCCCCTGCCACTGCTGCACTGAGCCGTCTCATGCTACCGTACCTCTTCCCTGACCTTGCTGCCTTTCCCACAGTCGCTGACCTCATTACGCACCTCCGCACTAGTGACACTCGCTACCGCGCTGCGCTTCCTGCTGACTTCTACGCTAAGACCCCCCCCCCCATGTACATCACTCTCTACTACATAGTCACTCGCCTCCCTGACTCCCTTCGCGTAGTCAGGGACCACTTCCTTTCAGTCTGTCCCACCACACTCACTGTTGACCTCCTCGAGAAGTCCCTCCTAGCAACGGAGAAGAGCATAGTCGCTGTAGGGGCCTCTCGTGGTGACCCGCGCACCCCCATCTTTGAGGGGTGTTCCCCCTCCCCCCTTCTGCCCTCTGTTGCCTCTGCTGCTGCGGCCGACCTCCTTGGTCTTGAGTCGGTCGGTGCGGCGTCTACCCCTAGTGGGAGACGCCGCTCTGGCAAGGGCAAGGGGGGCAGGGGCGCTGGAGGAGCGAGCGGGGGCGGTGGAGGTGGAGGTGGAGGCGGCGGGGGGAGTGGGGGTGGCGGTGGGAGTGGAGGTGGGAGTGGAGGTGTCGGTGGCAGCAGTGGAGGCGGAGGCGGCGGCGGCGGTGGCAGTGGGAGTGGAGGTGGCGGAGGTGGCGGCGGTGGAGGAGGCGGCGAAGGAGGCGGTACTAGCGGAGGCGGCGGAGGCGGCGGAGGCGGCGGGGGTGGCGGTGGAGCTGGTCGCGGGTCTACGCAGAGGGGTGGCTCCGGTGGTGGTTCACGCCAGCAGCAGCAGCGCGGTCGTGAGACCCTGTCCCCTCAGCAGCTCCGTGAGTGGTACACTTCACGCCAGCGGGGTGGGGGTTTTGGTCCGTGCACCTACGTCCTGCGCACCGGCGACCGTGCGGGTGAGCAGTGTGGGGGTGCGCACCCCACCCAGCGCTGCTTTGGCCGCGTGATGGACGCGTGGCGTCACCAGTTCCCGGAGGCCTTAAAGATCCCTCGCTCGCGCGAGCTGTCTAGGGCGGGTGTTGCCATCTATGATCTTGACTTTGATGCTATTCTTTCTGCCATGTATGTTGTGTCTATTAGTGATGAGGGTGAGTGTTACCAGTGTTTCCCGCCCGATCCGGGCATTGAGACTGCTGCTCTAGGTACTGGTGAGGCGGCTGCCCTAGGTGCTTGCGACGCTGCTGCTCTAGGTGCTAGTGCGTCTGCGTCCTCAGGTACTAGTGAGTCTGCGCTGTCAGGTACTACGTCGGCTTCGGCCTCCCTCACCTTCACCCTTGACTCTGGGGCGTCTCGCTTCTTCTTTCGGGACCGCACCACTCTCACGCCGCTTAGTCGGCCTGTTGCGGTGTCCCTGGCTGACCCCTCTGGGGGTCCTGTCCTGTCTTGTTTTTCCACAGTCCTCCCGTGTCCGGCGGCTCCCTCTGGCACCCTGACTGGTCTTTACCTCCCCTCGTTCTCTACGAGCCTGGTGAGTGGTGCTGACCTACAGGATGGGGGAGTGCACCAGTTCACTCCTGCGCGTCAGCGGGTGACGCACTGCACAGAGGCTAGCACAGGCCGACACCTAGCTACGTTTACCCGTCAGCCGGGATCGAGCCTGTACACACTGACCTCCGCGTCTCCTCCAGTTGTTGAGTCTGGTAGGGTAGCTGCGTCGGGTCAGGTGTTTGCTGCAGCGTCCAGGTCTGGTCCTGAGTTTGCCCCCTGTTCGTGTCGTCTCCTGTCTCACGGGACTCTCCTCTGGCACCACCGCCTTGGTCACCCCTCTCTTCTTCGGCTCAGAGGCATGGCATCCCGTCTTCTTGTTTCTGGTCTCCCCCGGTCCCTCCCTCCCCTTCCTCAGGGCCCTGGCCCTTCCTGTGTCCCCTGTGTCGAGGGGCGCCAGCGTGCTGCCCCTCACTCCTCCCAGTTTTCCTCCGACAGAGGCCCCGTTGCAGACGCTTCACATGGACGTGTGGGGCCCAGCCCGCGTCCGTGGACAGGGTCACGAGCGCTACTTCCTGCTCGTTGTTGACGACTACTCTCGTTACACCGCAGTCTTCCCCTTGCACAGCAAGGGTGATGTCACTGAGGTGCTGATCGACTGGATCCGCGCAGCTCGTCTCCAGCTCAGGCAGAGCTTTGGCTCGGACTTTCCTGTTCTGGGTCTACACTCAGACAGAGGCAGAGAGTTTTCTGAGAGCCTACTGTCGCGCACGAGGAATCCGTCAGACCTTCACGCTTCCGGACTCCCCGCAGCAAAATGGGATTGCTGAGCGCCGCATTGGCATGGTCATGGACCTCGCTCGTACGTCTGTGATGCATGCGGCTGCTCCCCGTTTTCTGTGGCCGTTTGCGGTGAGGTACGCGGCGCAACAGATCAACCTACACCCTAGGGTCTCCAGGCCGGAGACCTCCCCAGCCTTGCTGTGGACGGGGAAGGTTGGCGATGCGTCGGCGTTCCGGGTCTGGGGATCTCGAGCGTTTGTCCGCGACTTGTATGCAGACAAGCTGTCCCCTCGTGCTGCTCCTTGCGTCTTCCTGGGGTTCCCCCCTGACGCGCCTGGGTGGCAGTTCTACCACCCCACCTCTCGCCGTGTTCTGTCCTCCCAGGACGTCACGTTTGACGAGTTGGTCCCCAACTACCGCCTCTTCCCCTACCGCACTCCGTCCCTCCCCCCGCCGCCGCTCTTCCTTGTACCAGGTCCCCCTCCGGTAGACCCCCTCCCCCCTCAGGGTCCGTCCCCTTCAGGTGTGTCCCAGGTAGACGCAGTCGAGCCTGTCGAGGTCACTGGTGACTCTGGTGCTGCTGGGGGTGCTGAGCCTGGGGGTGCTGACTCTGGGGGTGCTGAGCCTGGGGGTGCTGAGCCTGGGGGTAATGAGACTTGGGGTGCTGAGCCTGGGGGTGCTGAGCCTGTAGGTGCTGCGCCTGGGGGTGCTGAGCCTGGGGGTGCTGAGCTTTGGGGTGCTGAGCCTGGGTGTGCTGAGCCTGGGGGTGCTGAGCTTGGAGGTGCTCCGCCTGGAGGTTCTCCGGGTGCTTCGTCTCTGCGGGAGCCACTCTCTCCACAGGAGTTGCGCGAGTGGTTTGCCCGGCGCTGGAGGCGTGCTGCTGGTGCTGGAGGTTCTTTGTCTACTGAGGGTGCTACTGTCGCGGGTCCCGGACGTGATCGTACTGGGAGTATTGGAGCTGCTGGGCCTGCGGGTTGGACTGGAGCTGGTGCTGCTGAGGGTGTTGGAGCTGAGACTACTGCTGGCGGTCCTGCTGCAGATACTCCTGGTGCTGCTGGAGGTTCTGGCGCTGCTGGAGGTGCAGCTGGAGCGGGTGCTCCTGCTGGGGGTACTGGTGCTGTACCTACATGTCTGGCGTCGCCGCGCGGCCTTGACCGTACTTCGTTCCACTCCTGCAGCAGGTTCTTGGTCTTCCGCCTTCTACTGGTCCTTGTCCTTCTTTAGAGTGTCCACACCCAGTCCCGTCACAGTTACAGTTGCAGCCTACCTCCCCTTTGCCTGCTCCTTCTCCTTACACTGGTCCTACTGGAGGTCTTACTGAGTCTCGTGAGCCTGCGTCTCGCCCTGCGTCGCCTTTCCGTGCTGCTCGCACTAGTGGTCGTGGTTCGCGTCAGCGTCCTCCTCCTGTCCCTGGCACGCACAGGATGTCTGTGCGTCCGTCCACTGCTCCTCTGCGTGCCCCTTTGCCTTCTCCTCCTGAGTCCTCTCTTCCTGCATTTGCCAACCCGGAGTCGGACTCTCTTCGTGCTGCCAGTCCTACTGTCACGCGTCTCCTGGCTACTGTCGTCACTGACCCTTCTTTCGAGTCCACTGCTGCGTCTTCCCTAGTTGCTGAGCTCGTCGACTTTGCTGCTCGCTGTGGCCTAGACTACGCTGCTAGTCTTATCGCTGAGTCTGAGTATGTCTATCCTCTGTCTGTCGGGGGTGAGTGTGCCCTTGGCACGGACGTCCTTGAGGGTAGGCAGGAGGAGTTCCAGTGTCTGGCAGCTGCTTCACCTCATCTCGTGTCTGTACTACTTACCCCTGAGGGAGACCCGGATGCACTTGACATCCCGACTCCGCGCTCTTACGCGGAGGCGATAGAGGGTCCCTACTCCTCTCAGTGGCAGGCAGCTATGGACACAAAGATGGCTTCCTGGAAGTCCACAGGCACCTACGTTGATGCTGTCCCCCCTCCTGGGGCGAACATCGTCAGTGGCATGTGGATCTTCAGGGTGAAGCGGCCGCCGGGTTCTCCGCCTGTCTTCAAGGTGAGTTACGTGGCTCGTGGCTTCAGTCAGCGGCAGGGAGATGACTACTTTCAGACCTTCTCTCCCACCCCAAAGATGACCACTCTTCGGGTAATGCTGCACGTTGCTGCTTACCGTGACTACGAGCTGTACTCTCTCGACTTCAGCACAGCTTTCTTGCAGGGCAGCCTCCACGAGGAGATCTGGCTGCGCCGCCCACCTGGCTTCACTGGGTCTTTCCCTCCTGGTACCCAGTGGAGTCTCCGGCGTCCAGTCTACGGTCTCCGCCAGGCGCCACGTGAGTGGCACGACAGACTGAGGACTACGCTTGCGGCTCTTGGGTTTGCTCCTTCAACTACTGACCCGTCGCTGTTTCTGCGCACCGACACCTCTCTGCCACCGTTCTACATCCTCGTGTACGTCGACGACTTGGTCTTTGCCACAGCTGACACTGCTGGACTCGCCTACGTGAAGTCCGAGCTGCAGAAGAGACACACGTGCACAGACTTGGGTGAACTGCGCAGCTACCTTGGCTTCAGATCACCCAGGACAGAGCACGCCGCACCATTACCCTGACTTAGTCACACATGGTGCAGCAGGTCCTTCAGCGCTTCGGCTTCACGTACTCCTCGCCTCAGGCCACTCCTCTGCCTACTCGCCACTCGCTCTCAGCTCTGCCTTTGGATGAGTCCGTAGAGTCGAGTGGCCCGTATCCAGAGCTTGTTGGCTGCCTCATGTACCTGATGACCTGCACACGACCTGACCTTGCATACCCTCTTAGCATTCTCGCACGCTATGTTGCTCCTAGGAGACACAGACCAGAGCACATGGCTGCAGCGAAGAGGGTGTTGCGCTACTTGTGCAGTACGTCGGGCATGGGGCTAGTGCTTGGAGGGCGGAGTCCAGTGGTCCTCACTGGGCACGCGGACGCTTCTTGGGCTGACGACCAGGCTACGCACCGGTCGTCACAGGGTTACACCTTCAGCCTTGGTTCCGGCTCTATTTCGTGGCGGGCTACTCGCTCGTCTTCTGTTCTCGGCTCCACTTGTGAGGCTGAGATCTACGCCGGGGCCATGGCTGCACAGGAGCTTCGCTGGCTCACCTACCTGCTGACCGACCTTGGAGAGTCGCCTCGTTCTCCTCTAGTCCTTTACGTAGACAACAAGGCCATGCTGGCCTTTTGTCGAGAGCAGAGACTGGAGCACAGAACAAAGCACATTGCTCTTCGCTACTTCCTTGCTCGTGAGCTACAGCAGCGTGGTCAGTTGCCGCTTGCGTACGTGGCCTCTTAGGCCAACACTGCTGATGTCTTCACCAAGGCACTTGCGCCTTGTGATCATCAGCGCTTCTGCACGCAGCTGGGTCTTGTGCCTGTCTTACCTCACTTGCTCACCTCTTGACCTGGGGCGAGATTTCCTGAAGCGGTTCAACCCCGTGATCGACTGGATCAACGGGAAGGCGTGCATCTACAACAACGGGAAACGAGTGGAGCTGCGAAGCTAGACGGATACAGGGAGCGTTCTTGAAACGACACTGGCATGGTTCGAACGGACTGTGAACGAGAGTAACATGGGATACTTCGCACTGGTTATGGCAGCAGTAGAGGAGGAGAAGCCGAGTTTGGAGCTACCTGCGGCAGTGAAGGAGGTCTTGGAGCAGTACAAGGATATAATGCCCGACGACCTACCCGCAGGCATACCTCCAGCACGCACCCACGAGCACGAGATCGTGGAGGAACCAGGTGCGAAACCCGTCTCACGAGCACCATACCGACAAAGTCCGACCGAACTGACAGGCATGAAGAAACAGATAGAATATCTACTGGAGAGACAACTAATCCGCCCATCCACCTCTCCCTACGGTGCACCAGTCCTCTTCACTCCAAAACCAGACGGCAGTCTAAGGATGTGCATCGACTACCGCGCACTGAACAAACAGACAGTCAAAAACAAATATCCCATACCGCGCATAGACGACCTACTGGATCAACTGCGTGGAGCAACAGTATTCTCGAAGCTGGACCTACGATCGGGTTACTGGCAGATCAAGATGGCGGACAACTCGGTCCACAAGACGGCATTTCGTACCAGATACGGCTCCTACGAATACTTGGTGATGCCGTTCGGACTCTGCAACGCACCAGCAACGTTTCAGGCAGAGATGAATCACATCTTACGACCCCTACTGGATGAGGGCGTAGTGGTGTACCTGGACGACATTCTTATCTACTTCAAGAACATGAAGGAGCACGTGGAGCATCTGCGGAAGGTGTTCCAGATCCTGCGGAACAACAAGTTATACGTGAAGCTGTCGAAGAGCGACTTCGCACTGAAGAAGGTGCAGTTTCTCGGGCACATGGTGAGTGCCGAGGGCGTACACGTGGACCCGCGCAAGATCGAAGCCGTCAAGAAATGGAAAGTACCGGAGAACGTGAAGGAGTTGCAGTAGTTCCTAGGCTTCGCCAACTACTACAACAGGTTCGTGCCACAGTACGCTAAGATAGCAGCGCCACTGACCGACCTACTGAAAAAGGATACGCCCTACAAATGGGATATGCCTCATCAGCAAGCCATGGAGCAGCTACAGACAGCACTGATCACAGCCCCAGTACTCATCTTGCCGGATCCAGAGAAGGACTACGTGGTGGAAGCAGACGCTAGTGACCAAGCAGTCGCAGCAGTACTTATGCAGGATCACGGACACGGTTTGCAGCCCATCGCCTACCTCAGTAAGAAGCTACACGGAGCAGAACTGAACTACCCCATCCATGACAACGAAGCCTTAACGATAGTCATAGCCTTCAAGGCATGGAGGTGTTACCTAGAGGGAGCCAAGACTACAGTCTATACTGACCACTGCAGTCTCAAATACCTGAAGTCGCAGCCGACGCTCTCACGACGACGTGTGCGGTAGGTGGACTTCCTGGAAACTCACTTCCACTACGACATCATCTACAAGCCCGGGCTACACAACAAGGCAGACGCGTTGAGCCGCCCCGGACATGTAGCAGCCATCCAGCTCGACGAGATGAACCCTCTGCTCAAGGGTCTATTCCAACATGGGTACTCCGTGGACGCAGAAATCGCTACAGCACAGACCAAGAAGTTGTTACAGTGGGAGAAAGACTTAGCTGTAAGGAAGGGTTCAGGAAAGATTTGGGTACCGAATTTCACCCCGCTACGGCATATCCTATTGGAGGAGTTTCACGATGTACCTTACGCGGGACATTTCGGGAGCAACAAGGCGTTAGCAGGGATAGCAAAGTATTAGTACTGGCCCGGGATGGCAGCAGACGTGCAGCAGTTCGTCACCTCATGCGACACATGCCAGCGGATGAAGAGCAGCAAGCAGAAAAAAGCAGGGTTACTTCAGCCTCTACCTCTACAGGAGCAGCCATGGTAGGTCGTTAGCCTCGACTTTATCACAGAACTTCCTTCGACCTCAGGGGGGCACGATTCCATCCTCGTAGTCATCGATAAGTTCTCAAAAATGGGTCACTTCATACCGACCAACGCCACAACTACAGCTGAAGCAACTGCTCGCCTCTACTTCGACCGCATCATCACCATCCACGGCATCCCCGCTACACTCATCTCAGACAGAGACCCAAAATTCACCAGTAAGTTCTGGAAGGAGCTCATGGGACTGTTGGGGACAAAGCTTGCAATGTCTTCAGCATACCACCCCCAGACTGACGGACAGACAGAGCGACTCAATCAAGTGGTTGAACAGTTACTGCGCACAGCTTGCAAGGACAACGTCAGCCACTGGGACACACAGTTACCGACCCTAGAGTTTGCTTACAACAACGCATCACATGCGGCCATAGGGAAAACTCCTTTCTTCCTGTGTTACGGACGGGAACCACTCACACCACAGCAGCCAACCACACCGGCACACGTCCAAGCCGCACATGACTTTGTCACCACCATGCAGCAGCTATGGGAGAAGACTCAGTGACGACTCACCACGATGCAGACCTCCCAGAAGCAGTATGCCGATCGTCAGCGACGTGATCACTCAGTAGCAGTCGGAGATCAGGTGCTTCTTGACACGCGCAACTTGAACCTGTCTCACCTACCATCCAAACTCTGGCATCGCTTCTGTGGTCCTTTTCTCATTGAGGCACAGGTGACACCAGTTACATTCCGCTTGTGCTTACCAGATACATGGAAGCTTCACAACGCTTTCCATGTCCAGCTACTGAAGCCCTACAAGGACCCCAACCAACAATTCCAGGGACGAAAACTCCCGCCACCACCACCTGTTCTCATACAGGATGAACCCGAGTACGAAGTGGAGCGTGTTCTCACTCATCGGCGCCGCGGCGGAAAGGCCCTCGAGTTCCTGATACGCTGGAAGGGATACGACCCCACTGAGGACAGTTGGGTTGCAGAAGCTGATATGGGCAACGCACGCCGTGCTCTCAAGGACTATCTTGTCAAGCAGGGTGTTTCTCACGCCACCTAGCTTTGAGGGGGGGACGTGTGAGAGTACGATGGCTTATGCCAGCCATGCTTGCTTGCCTTTACTTTATTTTGCTATTTCTAGCATAGGATGATTATATGCATGCATGAATTGCTTGATTTCCTAGGCTAGGTGCTTTCCTATATCTTATTGTAGTTATAGCACCGACTTAGGTTACGTGCACCGAATTCTGGCCTTTTCGGTTGCCAACGAATTGCCTTCTACCGAATTCGGTAAGGGTCTGTTCGGGACGCTACACGACCCGCGGAACCTTCGCGTAACACCTGGTTACGAGGCCTTATGTCGAGCCTATATATAGCCTCGTGTTGTACCCAGGTGATCATTCAATACGATTCAATTCACATTCTCTTTTCTGAGCTCGATCCTAGATCCTCACAGATTTGGTTGGGCGCGTAGGTACTGTAGTGATTGGTGGTCTGTCCATACTGTCACGTCGGCGCCAGTCAGATAACACCGCCAAACCTTGAACGCGTGCACGATCGCCAACATTTCGAGGTCATGTATCGGGTAGTTGCGTTCGGGCGGGTGCAACTTGCGGGACTCGTACGCGATTGGCTGGAGGCCGTTCCCGAAATCCTGCAACATTACTGCTCCCACGGCGATGTCACTTGCGTCAGTGACGAGCTCGAACGGACGGTGTGGATCTGCGATGTGAAGCACGGGCGTTGAGCACAAAATGTTTTTGAGGGCCGAGAAGGCAGCTTGCTCTTTCTCCTCCCACGTGTACTCAACCTGACAGAGGTCCACTGGTGATCCCCGAACGGTCCTAGGGAAGGGTTACAGGCTCGTTGTCCTGGGGGGTTATGGGCGCACTGACCCGCTACTTAACAAGCCCTTTTATCCCAATGGTCTAGTGGTTGGGATTCGGACATGGTATCAGAGCGAAGGTCTTGGGTTCGAATCCGAGTGTGTGCACTTCGGGCATCCCAGTGCGGGGGGATGTCAGAGGTCCACTGGTGATCCTCGATCGATCCTAGGGAAGGGTTACAGGCTCGTTGTCCTGGGGGGTTATGGGCGCACTGATCCGCTACTTAGTAAGCCCTTTTATCCCAATGGTCTAGTGGTTGAGATTCTGACACAACCCCCTTCCTCAACAGGTCTGTCAGCGGGGCAGTCACCTTCGCCATGTCGGAGACGAACCGGCGCACGTAGTTGACGAACCCCAAAAAAGTCGGCAACTCGTTCAAGTTGGTCGGCGCGTGCCATGCTTGAATCGTCGCAATTGTTTTCGGGTCTATATCCACTCCTGCAGCTGAAATAACGTGTCCCAAAAACTCCAGGCGGTCCTGTAAAAACTCACACTTAGATGCTTTTGTCAGTAGGCGGTTCTCACTCAGTATTTTAAAAACTGCTTCGATGTCCTCTAAGTGTTGTGTTCTGTCTGGGCTGTAAACCAGTATGTCGTCCAGGTATACTATGACGCACTTATCTAAGAGCAGGCGGAAAGCTTCGTTCATGGTCATTTGAAAAGTGGCGGGGGCGTTGGTCAGTCCGAAGGGCATGACGGTGTATTCTAAGGATCCGTAGCGTGTGCGAAATGCGGTCTTAGGGCAGTCGGGCGGATTGACGCGAATCTGGTGGTAACCCCCTCAAAGGTCGATTTTCAAGAAAACCCGGGCTTTGCGAAGTTGGTCGATCAGTTCGTCGGCTCGCGGGATGGGGTAACGGGATTTGATGGTAACCCTGTTCAGTGCTCTGTAATCTATGCACATGCAAAATCCCTCGTCTTTTTTCCGTGTGAACAGTATCGGTGCTGCGAAAGGCGACGAACTAGGGCGAATAAATTCGTTCTCGAGCAGGTAAT